GATAAGACGCAACTTTTGGCAAAGTTTTAAAAATATCTGTCCATGGGGTTCAGAGCCACCTTAAATTTTTAAAACTTTAAGGGGGCTCTGAACCCTATATGTACAGAATTTTTTTAAACTTTGCTTAAAGTTGCATCTTATCGTGCTTATTAAAATTTGATAATATAAAATAATTTCACCGTGCCATTTTTGATCTGGTTCTTGTGCAAGACATCTTGTTTTCTTGGGGCCTGTCTTCACCGTACAAGGTGGGTGGGGAACCCTTTACTGGACTATAATCCCATCTAGGGGGACATAGAAATACCCCTAGCTTTGCTTTAAGACAATTTTGACCTGATGGGTTCAAAGTCTCGCATGCAGACTTTACCCCTCACCTACATTTGATTTGATACTATATAGAGCAGTTTTCAATTGAAGAGGTGTGTAGGATAATGTCCTAACTGACTTTTGGAAAATTTGGAGACAACCAGGATTGAAATAGCTGCCAGCGATTTTCATAGTTTACTCTGGCTTTGCCTAAAAAGAAGTAGCAATTAATATGTCAAGTTCTTTTTAGACAGTAATGAAGAAAACAGTAAACTGCAACCAATCGCTGGTAGGTATTTCAATGCTGGTTACCTCAAAGTTTTCCAAAACTCACCCAGGGCTTTATTCCAGTCACGTACCCCTTCAATTGAGTGTCAGAAAACCAAAACCAGGGTAATTACTGCAGCCAACCACAGATTAAGAGCACTGACAATTCAATGAACCAATCAAAACTCAAAGTAAAGACATGTAGCTTGACGCGTAGTGGGATGAAAAAGTTGCACAAGTTTAAGCCAATTATGTGGTGTAGTAATGCAAAGCCAATAATTATTAATGTATGACACTCAAGCAAATACTGCCGGGCTTCTGACTGGCGATATGATAAGTACCTGGGATGAAAAGTACATGTACTTGTGAAGTGCTTTACATAGAATAAATTATGATTGTTATTCTGTTTCTAGATTGATGCTGAGCTTATAAATGATAAGGAAAACAAGGAAACTGGTTAGTACCATGCGCAATTCCTGCCATGTGAAAATTATCCTTGGGTACTTTTCTGTTTTTTTTTTGGGNGGGGGGGTATGTGTGGATTGAGAGTTGCAGTGTGTTTTGTGAAATCAGTTCAAGGGTTTACTTTGCTGGCACATCTGAAGAAATGTTTAGCTCACAAATAAATGTATCAAAGGAAAGGAAAGGTGCAAAATATTGTAATGCTTATTGTCAATGACTATCAGGGCTTTGCTCTAGAAGTGCCCAGATGCCACAGGTTACTAACTTTTACCTCAGGGTGACAGGAAAAACTTACATTTTTCATATACTGTAAGCTTAAGTGCTGGGCACCTAGAGTTCATGGTTAGCAACCTCTGGGCCCCTCGTAATTTTTCCTAGACCACAGCCATGGACTATAGTGAAGGGGGGACCAACTTTAAGATTTTGGAGCTAAACTTATCATAGTACATCAATGTATTCAGTAATAAATTCTATCAATGTACTCAGTAATTAATTTGGTCCTTACTTATGCAGAAGCAGATAAGGACTCAACAGAGGGTGAGAAAACAGAAACGGAACAACCAGCTGAAAAACAAAAGAAAGAAGGACCCAGTTCATCCGAGAAGGTAGATAAGATGTGCAAGTTCATCTACTCACGCGACACTTCAGACCGTATCCGAACTAGAGCCATGCTCTGTCA